GCTCTTATAAATACTTTAAAAATAATATCCATTGAACTTATTGTTATAACCAAATACTACTTTGTCAGGCATTGGTATATTTTTACCACAACACTCAATGAGTTTACTATTAACATGAAAATTAATAAATATTTTTGAATTTTATATTCCACTATGCAGATCATATGCTAACAAAAGTGTCCAAAAATGTCTACCAGTTTAAGCTATGTGCTATTTTTTAACTAATTAGAAAACTAGTATTTTGGGGGGCCAGAGTAATTGTTTCCTTTTTAAATGGCAAACTCTCGTTCAGTTCTTAACACTATATAAGGTCCCCTGATCACTGCCAGGAATAATCCCTGAGCATAGAGCCAGAACTAAACCCTGTGTACAGCCAAGTGGGACCCCAAAACAAAAAAAAAAACAGAAAAAAACCAAAAATACTTGTTGCCATGATCATAGTTTATAAAAATTTGGTGTTCAGTTCATCACACTTAAAATTAGTAATTAATAAATTTACTAATATTGATATGTAGGCATTCATTGATCCAATTTCTTTCATTATTGAGATAGAGACACAGGTCTTGAATATTTATATAAGTCTTCATATTCTTTGATGGTATCAAATGGTGTCTAAATCAGAATTGCCTAAGGCTTTCCAGTGATATTGTTTAGTAAGAGAAGTAGTTCATCCTTGTGAAAGAAAAATGAACTACTATTCAGTAAGTATCAGAGTAGCTACTACTTTTTATCTTTACAGATTCTTTATTTTATTTTATTTTTTTTGCTTTTTGGGTCACACCTGGCTCTGCACTCAGGAATTACTCTTGGCGGTACTCAGGGGACCATATGGGATGCTGGGATTCGAACCCGGGTTGGCCACATGCAAGGCAAACGCCCTACCTGCTGTGCTATCGCTCCATGCCCTCTTTACAGATTCTTATGTAGTGCCAGATAACGATAACTAAGTATGCAATGAAAATAAATTAAATTACATACAAGTAAAAGATAAAACTTAATGTCAGAAAAAACAAGAGCTTAGAAATAACAGTGAGATGTGAGTGGATCTTTTACTATTTTTCTCTGAAAGGCACTGTGCTTTTGCGTTTACAAATAAAAGATGAAATTATTTTCCCAAACAATAAGATTCAACACATTTCGAAGTGCCATCTAAGAAAACATTGAAATCTTTCGAGTTAAAAATAAAATATTTCGAGTTCACAAAAATGAAAAGCTTAACTTCACCCTTGGAGAAATAAACTTGAAACCACTCATATTGTAATCAGAGTAATTTGTCAAATTATTGGCAAATGTGGATAAATTGTAGCAGATGAGTGTCAGAAAATAATAAGGAAATTAGGAAAGGTAATTCCTTTTGAAAAGCCATGTGGATAATCTTAAAACAATGACAAAAGCGCAGTTAAACAGACAGCAATGAAATTGGACTCCATCCGTATGACAAATCCTGTTTCACCCTTATTGGCCTGGGTTTCCTTGCGCAACCAGAACTTGCCAAAACAGGAAACAGTGGCAGTGCATATATATCTCTCTCACCCCTCTGAGAGGATGAATGCACTTCTCAGTGCACACTCATCTTTCTAACCTCTCTCCAATTTCTTCTCACTACTGCTGAAACTGCTAAAGCAGGTACTTCATTGTTGTTTCCAAGAGACGCGGGAAGGCATCAAAGTTTAAGGTAAATATGTTTGTGTGTCAATATATTTATGCTTTATTGGGTATAAGATGATATAGAGTAAAGAAATGTAAGATTTTCAAAACTATGTTGATAGTCTTTCTAGAGTCATTATCTTAATTTGTTGTAATATGATGCACAGAATTTAAAATAATTATGCATAGAGGTTGCCCGGCAAGCTACCGAGAGTATCTCGTCCGCATGGTAAAGCCTGGCAAGCTCCCCATGACATACTCGATATGCCAAAAACAGTAACAACAAGTCTCACAATTTGTCGAGACGTTACTGGTGCCTGCTCAAGCAGATCTCTGAACAACGGGAGGACAGTGCTACAGTGCTAATATTTATGAGAAGTGAGTAAAATATAATTATTTTTCCAAAAGCACTTTTATCAGACTTAACATTTAAATAATTTGTCAAACTTTCATTCTAAAATAAGCAAAAAATGTAATACAAATACTATGACATTTGTAAATCATGATAGTAGGATTTCTCCAAATGTAATAGTAAATACTAAGTTTATGTGTGTGATACTTTTGTATTTATATTAACATGTATGAATGCCTTAGTTTAAACATTAATATAAGCATAGGGAAAGGCCAAGCTAGTTAGGCAGCTACACTTGTATAAGTAATTTAAATGTAACCACCTTATATGTTTTACATGTATATTTGAATAAGGAAGTGGTTTCCACACAGAACTTAATATATTTTACTATATTAGAAGTGACCCTGCAAAAACAGATGAATATACAACAAAACTATCCAATGCCAGCATACAGCTGGTTATTTACATCCTAAAGGGAAGCTTTCAAAAATGTTAGTACTGTTTTTCTACAGTGGAAAAATGTCATTTATAAAAGTTACAGGGGGTATATACTATCCTCTGAGATACAGTTTGGCTCTCCAGCAAACTAAAACAAAGGCTGGGAAAGTCTGCAGAACACATTCTCCTTGGAAGAGTGATCAAAGGAAAGTTTCCTTCTTACAGGTCTCAAGCCCTAGAGCAATTCTACGAAGATTCCTTGTAAGGTCAGTTGGGACCATTGAAACAAGCTTAACATTTTTTTTCATAAGCAGAAAACATTTATGAGGAAGAGTGTTAAAACACTCAAGTAATCTTTAAATCAGAGTCAGCTAAGATTCCCAGCGACATTGCTTAGTAAATTCAGTTAAAAGGGAAGTCATTTATTAATTTATTATTGGAAAGGTTATATATATTGGAAAGGTTTACAGTTGAGTATCAGTATAGATTATAATTTATGTATCTTCATAGATTTCTTATATATTAAAATGTAGAAGTTCTATACACTTTGCACCATGTTATGTCGTTCTGTTTCACAAATGCTAAAAGCGTGATCTGAACAAAGCAGATTCGATTTAAAGTATGAAAATATTGAATGTATTGGATATATTATGATATATTATGATGTATTACTATACAATTGTGCCAGTACCTATACTGTTACATACATGTGTGTCATTCTATTATAGTTTAGGTAACAAGACTCCAATATTATTAAAGTTTATGGTGTTAATGTACACAATTGCTGCACCTCACAACACACAAAATGCCCAAGATCCTCCACCACTGATCCTGTCTCCCTTTACGTCTACCTTTTCTTTCTTCCCACCCTCCAATCTAAATTTGCAATCTAAGGGCCAAGGGTTTACCATAGCTTGATGCTGTTTATTCCCTTCTTGATTTCTCTTGATTTCTCCTTCTACCGAGAGTATTTTGATCACACTTATTTGTGGGACATAAAGAAAAATGGTATGAGATGAATATCCAAGCATAGTGGAAACGAGGGCCAGGAGCATTGGTCCACAGTTAGAAGACAGCCTCAAGTGCTGAGGGATAGAAAAGGAACAGCTATGACGATGATAGTTGGAAATGATCACTCTGGATAAGAATTGGGGGCTGGGTGGGAGGGCTACTAGGATCATTGGTGGTGGAGAATGGGTGCTGGTGGAGGGACAGGTACTTGATCATTGCATAACTGAAACCCAAGCACGAGAGACTGTAAGGGCACAACTGTACCTCATGGTGTTTCACTAATAAAAAAAAAGAATTGTGTGCTGCAAGTAGGTAAAAGAACAAACAGGATAACCTCTCAGTACCTTTATTGCAAACTATAATGCCCAAAAGGAGGGGAGAGAGAGAGAGAGAGAGAGAGAGAGAGAGAGAGAGAGAGAGAGAGAGAGAGAGAGAGAGAGAGAGAGAGAGAGAGAGAGAGAGAGAGAGAGAGAGAGAATGCCTGTTGTAGAGTCAAGCTAGGAGGTGTAGGAGGTGGTGGGTAGGAGGTGGTGGGGTGATGGGAGGGAAACCGGGGATATTGGTGGTGGGAAATGTACACTGGTGGAGGGGTGGGTGTTGGGACATTTTATGACTGTAACCCAACCATGAACAGCTTTGTAACTGTGTATCTCATGCTGATGCAATAAGAAAAAAATTATCAGCATAGTTTGAAATGCATCATAATAACTAATATGAAAATACTTAAGTTTTTGGATAGTAAAATAATACTAGCTTATGTATAAATTAATCAGAATTTTTTGAATTATAGGCATTTTCATAAGAGTTTATTTGGCACATGCTGATAGGTAATTAGGAAGAATATTGGGCTAGAGCGATAGCACAGCGGTAGGGCGTTTGCCTTGCACGCAGCCAACATGGTTGACCCGAGTTCGATTCCTCCGCCCCTCTCGGAGAGCCCGGCAAGCTACTGATAGTATCTCGCCTGCACGGCAGAGCCTGGCAAGCTCCCCGTGACGTATTCGATATGCCAGACACAGTAACAACAAAGTCTCCAATGGAGACGTTACTGGGCCCGCTCGAGCAAATCGATGATCAACGGGAGGGCCTTTACTTTACTTTTATTGATGGGGATATTTAGAAAATATTAAGAAGGTCTTCAGGAAATTTTAAAAAGACTGATGCATTATTAGCACATTAATAGGAAGAATGGCAAGAAGTTGTAAAAGCTTCTACTAATACTCAAATATAAAGAGGCTTTTTCTAGGAACTAAAGAAAGTAGCTACCTAGGTAACAGCATGGGCCTAATGTGGGATTGGACAGCGTATCTTCAGCTTCTATGGGTGAATTTCAAGAGTTTCAAAATATTTCTGATTATTCTTTATTATGTACATTAACGTCTCATTTAGGAAACTAAGCACTAATAATTCAACAGGCACTATGTGATAAAGTTTCACTTACTCACAATACATAACCAAGATCATTATATTGCTTTGTTTTTCTTTGAAACTCTTACAATTCATACACTAAACATTCCAATAATACTATCCATGATTCCATTTTTTTTCCAGCATGGCATCGTTCCCAGTGTTACTGTGCTTCACGGCTGTGTTGTTTCCTTTATTTCCTGCACATGGAAAGGTACGGTCAAGTTAAAAACCTTTGCAAAATAATTAGGCATCCCTCGGGAGAAGCAAGTTAATAGATAAATTTTCTAAAATAAGCAAAAGTGTAAGGTAGCTAGTATATCTCAAAATATTTAGAAGTTACTCAACGTTTGAACATAATTAGATCTAAGTCTATGCTGAGCACAATAGCAACCCCTAGTTCCATGAGGACATTGAACACTGGAAATAAAATTGAATTTGAAATAAAATTTTTAAATTGAGATTTGCCTACTACTAGAGCAAATGTCAAAGCATAGTGAAATAAAGGGTCAAACTAACTTGTTAATGATTTTGACATTCATTTCTTGCTGAACTATATTTTAAATACAGTTAAAATATTTTACAAATATCAAATCAATATATTTTATTTTCTTCTTTTTTCTAGTGCAACCAAAAGACTAAAATTACATCTTATATTTTAATATTTTAATTTTTAATATCAGTGGACAAGACATGGGATTCCATGCCACAGTGTGGCATGGGTACTTTCCCCTAAGCATCCTGGTCCTTCCTCTTCTTCCTCTCCTCCCCTGTGGGCCCCACCCACACTCCTGGCAGTGTTCACCTGGCATTCAGTCCTGATGGTTGAGTCTGGTTACCAGGGCTACACATGGCAGTATTTGGGGGGGGGCATGTGATTTAGGGGATCATTCACATACTAAATCTTTGCATGACCTTCCTGTCCTTCTGTTTTTATTTTCTTTGAGTGTCAGGGGGTGGGATGGGATGGGGGTGTAGACCATATCTGGCAGGGCTATGATTGCCACCAGCTCAGTTCTTAGGGACCATGTGGGTTGCTGGGGATTGAACCTGGCATTCCATATGCAAAGCATGTGCCCCAGCCCTTTGAACTATTTTTATTATTTTTTAAAATTATTTTAAAAATACTTTTGCAGACCCACTCCGTTCCAGAAACCTTAGTTGCTGGGCCCCTGGCTTCCTCTGTTCTTTGAATCCTTTGGCATTTATCAATCGAATCTAATCCATTCATTTTCCTCTGCCATATGCCACCTTGGGTTCTTATTGAATTTTCCTGGAGAAGAGATTTTTTTGTTCCAACTATATTATAAGAGCAAGGATCATTTCTTGCCAGTCTTTTTATTTTATTTTTATTTATTTATTTTTGCCCCTGCAACATCAATATCAACCCCTTAATATATAATTCAATTGGGCTGGAGTGATAGCACAGTGGTAGTGCGTTTGCCTTTCATGCGGTTGGCCCGGCCAACCCGAGTTTGATTCCTCCGCCCCTCTCAGAGAGTCCGGCAAGCTACCGAGGGTATATCACCCACATGGCAAATCCTGACAAGTTCCCCATGATGTATTCGATATGCCAAACACAGTTACAACAAAATCTCACGATGGAGACATTACTGGCCCACTCGAACAAATTGATGAACAACGGGACAACAGTGCTACAGTGCTATTTTAATAAAATTTAGTCTATGGATTTTTTTAAATTGCTAGACATGTTTTCCAAGTAGTAGCACTGTCCTCCCATTGTTCATCGATTTGCTCTAGTGGGCCCAGCCAGGTTTTCCAAGATATTTATTAATTATTTTGTTTTGGGGACCACATCCAGCAGTGCTTGAGAGATGCTCCTGGATTTGCATTGAGGAATAACTCGTGGGGGGCATGGAAGACCATGGGGTGGCGGGGATTGAACCTGGGCCATCTGCGTGCAAGGAAAGCACCCCAGCCACTGTACTCTCATTCTGGCCCCCTTCACTGATGGATTTAAACACTGAAGAAACTCCTCCATTTCAATAGTGGAGGATAGTCACATACTCAACAGGGCCAGTTGCTCAATATGGGCTCTCATTCCTTTAAGCCCTTTCCCTGACTTCGAAACGTCTATATTTTATTTTGAAATTTTAAAAATATTTTATTTATAGTGGAAACCTCCAATTTGTGACACTGTTAATGGTAGGATTTCATGCAATGTTCAACACCACACCCCCCACCAGAGTCCCAACTACCATTCACAGTTGTCTCAGGGTCGTCTTCCTTCCTTCCAAAACGCTGCCCTTGGTTAGCCCAGTTCTGTAGATCATCTATTAGCTTCTATTGTATTTCACCGTTTGTTATGCCCACAATTTTTCTCTATATCCCACCTAGGAGAGAGCTCTTTCTGTATCTGACCTCTCCTGACTGACTTCACTCAGCATGGTACCTTCCAGTTCCATCCACCTGGCAGTAAATAGCATAAAATGCACCTAAGATATTTAGCAAAATATTTTCCATTTCATAGTCCTTTTTTGTGGTTAAGTTGGTATGCATAAGGTGTTCTAATGACTCCTAACACTTGCTTTAATTTTGTTACATGTTTTAACATTTAACTTAGTTAAATGTTAAAGATCCCCAAACAGAAACGACCATTCTATTCAATGATTGGGGGATAGCTCTATCTCGTGATGAGGAAACCTCTGAAAATGAGGCACTTTGATCACTGCTACACGTTTCCACACCACCTTTAACTTTGGACACACAAACCAGACCAGAGAATTAGATACACGGTTAACCTCATTTGACACTCAGAAGTGCAGTCATTATACCATAATCCAATTCTCAATCAGATACAGTTTGTTACCTTTAGCTTCATTCAACTCCTATGCCATATTTTTTTACACTGTTTAAACATCACGGTTTACAAAGTTGTTCATAATACCGTTGCTGTGGTCTTTTGATTGTCCAACAGTAGTTCCACCACCTGAGTGACGTTTCCTCCACCGTTGGACCCATTTTCCCAACTATCCCCTAAGCCTGCCCCCTCAGCAGGAATACACTGATTTGTTTTATATTACTTGTTAGGACCAAATTGTTTTAGGAATTATCAAACATCCTTTAGTAAAGGAAAATTTGTGAAAACTATTATATTTCACCATGGGTTGTTAAATCTTTGTCTGAGGATTTCTTAAGCTATTCATTACGGTTTGAGCCTTCCGTGTTATTGCTTCTGTTTGTTGAGTTTAATTGGCTTCTACATGACTTTCTCACCTAATTGGGTATATTTTGACTGGAACTTCAGTACCGTATGCATGTAGCTGTGGGGTCCAGAAATTTCAGGATCTGTAGAACAAGGATGAATCTATAGAGATTCTTAAGTGAAGACATGGAGTTAGGCTAGAGATCCTTGGTATGATGGCAGCAGTGGCGTGTGGGTGCAGCTGCCAGGGCTTTCGTAGGGCAGGAACTTGGTCCACCCCTGCCTGAGGGTGCTCCAGAGTTTTCAGCCAAAGGGACAGGTGTGCCCTGAACTGCCCCCATTCTGAGAAGATTCCATGATTCTCAATCAAACATCAGGTTCCTATGCAATTTTCACATCTTCATTCTTTCCTTCAGATTTCTTCTCATGGCAGTTTTCCATCGTCTATTGCCACTCTAGTCCAAATCCTGATATTTATTTATAAACTTTCAAAATGCTATTCAGACCATTTTTTTCTGAAACATTTTCTGAACTCAGTGAAAAATAATTAATCCCCCCCTTTACTGTATCTAGCACATCTCACTTATCATTTTTATAGTCATCTGGTAATATAATAATTTATGGCATTTTATCTATGCAATATAAACAATTTATTTCAATATTTTGATTTATTTGGGGGTTTCCCCCAGCAGTGATCAGGGCTTGCTCCTGGCTCTGCAGCCAGGGATCACTCCTGGCAGTGCTCAGGAGGCCATATAGGGTGCCAGGATAGAATCCTGGTCAACTGTATACAAGGCAACATAGTACCTGCTTTATTATATCATGTCTTGAATGCAGAAATGTAGACTTATGAAAGGGTACTTGGAATCCATATTTGATCCATTTTATTCTCACAAGTCATCACACTTTTCCTATTGCCAACAAAATACTTTAGAGAAGCTCTTTTTTTTTACCAAAAAGACATTGTCTTCAGTAAATTTTGGTCTGCAAAACAAGATGGGTAAGATAAAGACTATTACTCCCCTTTTGCAGGGACCAAATTTTGATATGCACTGAAATGAAACCCTTTTAAACTTGTTTTTGAGGCTCAACAGGAAATACCCAGGAATGCTATTTTATGCTTTAATATAATGCAGAGACTGGCCACAGCTAAAACTTGACATATATCTTCTTTCCCATTTAGAAACATTGACTGGAAATGAGCTCATTTTGGATCCAATTCTAATCACCAGTATTCCATTCTTTAAGAATATGCAAACAGGAAGGAAAAATCAAAGCATTAATATATAGTGTCAATAAATGTGTAGTCAGACCTGCTTGAAATACATAAAGAATTTTACATTAACTGTATTAGGAGAGGAGATTATAGCCATTTTCAAGATATCAGGGTAAAATAGACAAAGGATACTGTCTATTTTGCCTTCTACTTTGAAATCTTGTCATGCCCACATACAGCACTGTATTCTTGTGTAAATTTTAGTCCATCAAATTTCTTTGTTCTTAAGTAAATAATTCATACCCCTCCTGGCCTACAACGGTCTTCCTCCTTTCCCCACAGACCATCAAAGATAAACCAAAGATATCAGAGTTGATTTAATGTGTTATTGGTTATATTTTTGACACTAACTAAAAGAAGTCAACAATAGCCATTAATTTGATGACTTTGCAACATCCAAATTGCCTTGGAGGTATTGGAATAACTGTCTTTAGAGAAATTTTATAAAAATCTACCCACTATATGTAGAATCACATGCTACAGTGTGGACTAACCATTCTCCCTGTAATACAGACTTCATGTCAGATCTTCAACTCTACGTTGAATCTTGACCTCTAACCTTAATGTGCCCTGCTTGAGAATGAATGTCAATATTTCTTTGGTCATTTTGTGTTTTTTTTTTTAAATCACATTAAATGTTCCCTTGAACATAGAAATTGGCACTTGTCTCAGAGTAGTTTCTAATTTGTCAAATCATAAATTTCTTCCCACTGTCAAAACACCACACTGCCACATTTCTATTATCATAATTTTGGAACAGATTCATTGATAATGCCTAACTCATATTGACTAAAACCAAATGCCTTATAAAAGTATTCATTTTAAGCCCTTTAACGAATTAGTCATGCATATGATTTTTAGAAATGTTTCTTTAATTTAATTTTACATCTCTTTAGGACGAGTCTATTGATTCACTGTCAACCTTTCAAAAAAAAATCCAAAAAGAGATTATAGACAAACACAATGCGCTTAGAAGATCAGTCTCTCCAACTGCCAGCAACATGCTAAAAATGGTAAGAGGAAGTAATGGAAGACTGCTATTGATGAGCATGGATAAGAGGAGGGAGGTGGGTGGTATGGAACAGCCCGGAAAAGAGCAGGTAGCTGGTAACTGGTGTCTCATGGAACCACTGTGGCTCACAAATTTCTGACTCTATCATGCTACTTAAAGGTAAAGGTAAAGGCCCTCCCGTTGATCGTTGATTTGCTCGAGCGGGCCCAGTAACGTCTCCATTGGAGACTTTGTTGTTACTGTGCCTGGCATATCGAATACTCTTGGTAGCTTGCCGGGCTCTCCGAGAGGGGCGGAAGAATCGAACTCGGGTTGGGCATGTTGGCCGCTTGTAAGGCGAACGCCCTACCGCTGTGCTATCGCTCCAGCCCCTTGGGTTGTGTTTTTATATTGAGCCAGTCAGAAAACCTAAATATCGTTCACAATAATTAAAAAACCTATAAAAGGTATGAGACAAAGGAGAATAATCTGCCAGAATTGATTCTCTTCATATCAATTTTTCAGAATTTTATATATTTGTGGATAGAATTTCTCTTCCCAGAAAACAGAGGCATACAATTTCAGAATATCCATGGTTCTTCTGAAGGCCCTCAAGGAACCCTGATTTAAGACCCTTGTTTTGAATTACGCATATGCTTCCTGACCTGGATTAATTGATTTCTGACAACATTTCACTGGGCCTTTCCTATTTGTTTTGATATAAAACAATTTTGTAATAAATTCCCAAGAACATAGACTACTTTTCCCAAATGCTTTCTGTGCTGCCATATCTACAATATCGTTAACATCATCCCTGCTATCAACATTTACTCCCACTGGACTCAACATCGTACCCTAGACTTTCCTATGATTTTTGTTGCTAGAAAGAAAAAAATCCAAGTTTTATCTACTCAAAGCTTAAAGAAAAATTTTGTAAAGGAATAGAGTAACACTCCCCCAAATTGGCTTACATTTGCAAATTTTATCAAATACATACATTAAAACACAATCTAAGGTACCTTACCATAACCTTGGAAATGCCAGTCAAGTGAAGGCTCAATGCTCAATTCCCTTAAGACAAAGTAAACTACATAATTTCACTTAATAATAATTAAAGAGTTAGTCTTATTCACAAGACTCTTGGAAGAATTAAATAGGAAGAATTAAAACAAAACTTTCAAGCATCAAACAAGAAGCCATTGCTTTTCTGATGACTATCGCTTCTAATCTAATATCATGAAGACCCTATAGAAAAAAATGTATGGTATTACTTACAACATTTATACTTTTTTTCTCCCCAAAAAAAAGATCACTTGTTCTTAAAAATACTCAGTATAAATACAAGTGAACTGGTAATGAAGTATGTCTGATGACTAAAATAAGAAATATAATCTCAAAACCTTCCTGTTTATCAATATTTACTTTAGCACTTGATCACTTGACATCCCTTTACTCATCAATGTGCTTGAACGAGTGCCAGTATTGTCTCCCTTTGCCCCTGCTGCGTGCTAGTGTAGCCCAGTGGCGTCTGCTCATTCTAGGAACATGAAGGAACTCAAACCCTCCATCAGGGTCTTGATGAAGAAGTCTGACCATCTCATAGGTGGGTGGCCATGCAATCTCTTGATGTCCCATGGAATCCAGTCAGTAATGGCTCTAGTCCAGCAGTCATCTCCAAATCTAATTACATGTTCGGCCCATCTGATTTTCAATGCTTTGGCAAACGACACAGCGTCCCTAATTCTTGACTGCCCACGGAGGTCAGAACTGCGGATTCTTTCTCTCACTTGAGTGAAGTGTGATACTACAAGCATAGCTCTTTCAATTCCTTTTTGGGACGCCGAATCTAAATGCTGGACATGGGAGACTCCCGTTGAATGGTTCCACAATGAAAATGACCACATCATATTCGACGGCTTTGCCTGACCGATGTCACTGTTGTCCCAAAATTCCAAATGGGATCAGACTACCATCTCCTTTGTACAAAATTTTACTTCATAGTGTAGGGAGAAAGGGCTGCAAAGTTTAAGAAGAGAACTCCCAGAATGACCTTCAACTGGGAGCTCTTTGGCACTCTTGTGGCAACATGGGAAGATGCCATCATTGACAACATTGACACGAAATACGATTGACTGGTTCAGCACCTCCATGATTGTGCGAAGAATACCTAGAGAGATAGTCACAAAAATATGCCTGTCTTCGAAAACTATTGAGCTCATTTGTCAATGTGGTTTGGTGCAAGCCTCAGGCAACCGCAAGAGAATGTCCGAGCTCACAAAGCAGTGCAGAGAAGCGATCAAGGAAGACCTCAAAGAGAGAAGAGTAGCAGTGCTAGCAGATGCGGCAGAAGCCAGGAAAAGCATTCGCAATGCCCATCTGTCCTTCGCCAACTACATGACCAAGACGACTGCCCTCTGATGTCCTGATGGATCCATGACATCTTCCAGAAGGGAAATGGAGAAGATTATTCATGACTTCTACTCAGATCTTTTCAATAGCCACGTCTACCTGCCCACATACCAAAGTCCGCAGGATGAATATGTTGTTCCCAACATTCTCCCTTCTGAAATCCGACACACCATTTCGTTGGTAAAGAAGTGAACAGCACCTGGTCCAGACAAGGTCAGACCTGAACACTGAAGAACCTGCCATCAGTACTCATCAATACACTGGCTCAGCTCTTCACACTCTACCTGTCTGAAAGCAAGATTCCGTCCCAATGGAAAACCAGCAGGACTGTACTACTGTACAAGAAGGGAGACATCCACAACATTGGCAACCATCAACTGATCTGCTTATTGTCTGTCGACTACAAGCTGTTCATTCAAGTCATCATGAATAGGATTGGCAGAACACTAGATGAAGGACAACCATGGGAGCAGGCCAGGTACCGCAAAGGATTCAGCACAATTGACCATATCCACACAATAACCAAGCTCATTGAGGTTTCTTGGGAGATCAAGATGCCACTTTGTCTAACGTTCATTGATTTAAAGAAGACCTTTGATTCTGTTGAGACTGAAGCCGTCATCAAAGCCCTAGCCAAACAGGGCGTTCAAAGTCAATACATCAGGATCCTCTGTGAGCTATATTATGGATTCACTACCAGGATCTCACCATTCTACAGGGAGGTGATCATTGACGTCAAAAGAGAAGTTTGGCAGGGTGATACCATTTCACCGAAACTCTTCAGTGCCACCCTCGAGAACGTCATGTGACGACTGGAATGGGAAGGAATGGGAGTGAAGATAGACAGTTGGCAGCTACACCACCTCTGCTTCGCTGATGACATCGTTCTATTAACACCAAACACTAGCGGCACAAATGCTGGTCAACTTCGACCGTGATTGTGGCAAGGTTGGACTACAGCTGAATCTCATGAAGACAATGTATATGAAAAATGATCTCATTCCTGACGTTCCATTCGCTCTCAACAGAATGAACATCTCCAAATGCAACAGTTATGTGTACCTAGGTCGAGAAGTCAACATGATGCATGACCTGGCCCCTGAATTGCACAGGAGGAAGATAGCAGCTTGGATTGCCTTCAAGAGCGTCAAAGAAATAGTTAAGAGGATGAAGAACCTCTGGCTTGGGACACAATATTTACTAGTATTACTAAAAGAATTTAAGATTTCTGCATGCTCCTAAAGAGCCCACTAATATTCTAACATGCTTACAATTGCTTAAAAAATATTATCTTGTTACATATTTTATTGTCCAAATAATTAGTAGATGCATGTGTTGAAATTCATAATGACATTAATCATAACTGTTCACATTATGTGTTGAAATTCATAATGACATTAATCATAACTGTTCACTAATCACACTGTTCACTGTGCTTCTTTGTTTATGATTCATTAAATTCATGTCTTTTTTTCCTTGTTCCTTTTAGCAATGGAGTGAAGAAGCAGCAGCTAATGCCCGAAAATGGGCAGATCAATGCACTATGTCACATAGTACAAGAGAATATCGAAGACTCAGTATGTACATTAACAAACATTCATGGAATAAATGAACAAGTAACATAAAAGGGGAATTTTTTGAAGTTGCATTAAGAAACCATTATGAATAACTTTTGATTGGAATATTACTCTTTCAAGTTAAAATATCTAGTGAGAAAGGATTCAGAAGCATCACCTTACACAGGTTGGGTTTTACACACAGTTCTGCCTCCTAAGAAACTCACGAGTGCAGCAGATCCCTGTATCATCTCATCATCATCCTCTCTCTCTCTCTCTCTCTCTCTCATTTGTTCTGTCTTTGTTATTTTTTGAGCCACACCAGTGATGCTCAGGATTGACTGCTGTCTCTGCGCTCAGGGATTGGTTCTGGCAGAGCTCCGTGAACTATATCCAGTGTTAGGGATTAGACCTGGTTCAGCCACATGCAAGAAAGAGCTCCACCCTGTCCTGTTGCACCCACCCCTCTTCTTCTAGTGTTAAGAATACAAAATTGGCTCTCAGGGGTAAAATAATCAATACTGAAGTCTTATGTATCAAATGTATAATTAGATTTTCTGACTTTTAATCCTCTTAATGTCACATATCTTATTTGTGTTTTGGAAACTAGTGTTTGAAAACTCTTTAGTGTTTTAAAGTTTATTGAATTCTTGTCAAACTTCCTTATTTTACTTAAAAATGCCCAGTATTAACTTGACTATTGCTCTTTTCTCTTTAATTTTAATTTCATTTAGTCTGTTATAGGTGCCTAAAATGAATACGATACAAAATTTGACTCCAAACTCAGAAGTCAAAATGTATCCAACCTTTCCATCAAGGAAGACAAAATGACAAGATAAAATATCATGATGTGAATTATTAGATAAAATAACTAAATTATTAAAAATTTCATAGACATAGACAAGCCCAATTTAAAAGTACTAAATAACATTTTAAATGCAGACTGTCAATAATTTTTCCTGTTTTTGTTAATATAATCTGTGAAGAGAGATTCCTATACTCAGTAGAAAACTAAAACAAATGCTATTTTTTTAAATTGAATCACCGTGAGATGTAGTTACAAAGCTTTTGTGATTGAGTTTCAGTTATATAATGTTCCAACACCCATCTTTCTACCAGTATTTTCCACCGCAAATATCTCCTGTATCTTCCTGCCACCACCCACATATAGTATTAATATTACCATCTATTCCATAGATGAAGACACTATGGTATACACACAGTGGAATAGTGCTTAACTGTAAAAAAGATGAAACCATGCAATCCCCAACTGCATGGGTAGCATGCTTAGTGAAGGCCGTGAGAGGGAAATCAATAAATAGAGATGATGTCTCTCATGTGTGGAGTATAAAGACACATAGTAAGGAGATAACAAATGGCCAATGATAATAGACCTTGAGAATTTATCTGCCAAAAGGGTTGGGGGTGAAAGAGGACTTCAAGACATTGGTAGGGGGACACTGACACTATCACTGTTTCTGACAGTCTAAATCCTGGTGCATATTTTCAAATTTTCCTGCTCAATGATAAAATCTTAATTTCTTTCTTCCTCTTGAAGAAGCCAGGTAAGAATAATTTTTAAAAGGATACCTTTTTCTAAGTAGCATGTAGTAAGTAAAACTACATAAATATAAATGTTTAGTTTTTGCAAGGGGTAGGGAATTGCCAAGTAGTACTCAGTGGGCCAGAGTTACGACCAACCGTCCACAGTCCACTTGGCTAGAAGGTTCAGTGCATGGGCTAGCAGTGCTGTGCTATTCAGGCCCGTAGTGCTGGGGCACCGTGGCACCCTCTGCACTGCACCAGGGTTACACCCATTGGTGCTCTGAAGACCATGTTGTTCCAGAGTAGTATAATGGTCCTGGTACACTCAGGTATCAGCGTCTCAGTGCATGACTGCTGATCTTCTATCTAACATCTACATATAAACTTTAAGCCTTAAAACTACTTTGATATGTTCCTACTCTTTCATGCCTATGACTTAATTTCTTTCACTTTTTTATTCTTTTGGGCCTTTCACATCCTTTCTTTTTGTTCTTTCACAGTTCCGTTTTTTCACTGCTCTGTTTTGTTTTGTTTTGGTTTTGGTTTGTTTTGTTTTTGCTTCTTCTCTTTCTCTCCTTTTATTAATTCTTTGAAGAGAATTTGGCCCATTTGTTATGATTTTCTGATTAAGGCGAGACCCATAAACTCTGAAAATATTGCTTCTCCTGGTTTCTTATTTTATTCTCAGGGATCTTTCATCTAAACGCAAGCTTTTTTTCTTTCAAATTTCATGCAAAATATCACTTCTATATATTTATTCATATATAAGTAGCAAGAAGCGGTCTCTGCTATTAGCAAGTTTATAATACAAAATAGCAAAATAGGGATACATTGTAAAGAAGGAGTTTACTGGATCAATAGTTAAGTCAGGGTTAGTTGACAATAAAGCAAAATCAACTCACTACTTGAAATTTTCCTTTTTTCCAGATCTTTTGTGTTGAGATGATCAGTCTTCTATTTGATTTATAGCTATCAAAGAATTCAGTTAGTGTGAACAAATATAGTATAATAGTAAATATATTGTCTTATTCCTACTTTGGACAAACTTGCAGGCTATCGAATGTAGCCTGCCCACAGGGCAGAGTCTGGCAAACTCCCCGTGGCGTACCAAATATGCCAAACACCAGTAACAATGATGGGTCTCATTCTCCTAAAGAGCCGTGAATATAATCTCAGGGCTAGGATGAAGGAGACGTTACTGGGGCCTGCTCGAGGCAATCGACGAATAACAGGATGATGAAAGTATAATAGATATCAATTTATAATAACAATGTATGTCTGCATTTGTATACATTTATATAACACAAATTACTTCTTTAAAAAAATTAAAGGTTAGAAAATAAGAACATTGTAAAACAAGGTCACCGAGATACAGGTATAAAATTGATAGATGTTGAACTAGAAATTTAGACACATAGATATATGCAGATCAAGGTTAACAAATATTTTATATTTTTCTCATTGGTGATCTTTTTTCTCTTAGATGCAACTAATTGTGGGGAGAATCTCTTTATGTCCAGTGATCCAGCTGCATGGTCAAGTGGAATCCAAGCTTGGTTTGATGAGTCCTCAGATTTTATATATGGGAAAGGGGCAAAGACTAGACAGGCAGTTATTGGACATTACACACAGGTAAGGAAAAAAATTAAACCATCTTCTATAAATATCCTGAACAATTTTTTTCCAAACTGTTTCCAGTGTTGAATGTGGGAGAAGAGTTTTCGTTCTCAAAATCCTACAGACTCTTGCTAGAGAAACATGCTCTTTTTTTCTCATAATCTAAATAATGTACATAGAAAGGCAATATTTTTTTAAAGACTTGATTTTACAATAATATTATTTACTAGGTAATGGATCACTTTTACCATTTTTTACTTATTGCTTGAAATGGACATCTACGACTTCTCATATGATATTTATTAAATAATAAACTAAATGCATCCATGAGCATAAAGAAACAAAATGTATTAGTGTCATTCTTTATGACGTGTGTATTTTATAACTTTTTAATACTTCCTTATTTGTTATGAATATTTATCTCTCCTCTTATGTAAATGCAGGTTGTTTGGTACTCATCTTCACTTGTTGGATGTGCAGTTTCCTACTGTCCAGATGCATACCTAAAATATTACTACGTTTGCCAATACTGTCCTGCGTAAGTATACTTAGGAGTTTTGTGTCAGTAATCTACTAGCAATTTACAATTTTTATGATATCAGTAGATAAACCAGATAAAAATTATATTGATTAACTCCATAGATAATGCAGAGAAACATTATGACATCTTGCATGCCGTAACGAGGATTTGATCGCTGACACCACACATGGTTCGCTGGTCCCTGCCAGGAGTGATCCCTGAGAACAAAATCAAAAATAACCCTGAGCACTGCCTGGAGCAATCTCAAAGCAAAACTATTTTAAAGTGATATTTAGTAAATTATGGAAGTCTTTGAATATCTTCCAAAACTGAGGCCAACTACTCAGGAAGAATATCACTTCTTCATTTCGAATACAATATTCTGAACCTTCTTTTCTTCACCTCATATTTAAAACAATTTGCTTTTCCTTTACGTTGCCTTTCCCAAAACTCAAGGTTTCCCAATATCCAATTGGTATATGTGGTGTATTTCCCTAGGTCTGGAATTGTTGGTGGGAACTTTGACCTTACACTGAAAAGTGAGTTTTTATGATTAGGCTAAGTGAGAGAGCAAATGGGAAATGACATTTAAATGATTACAGCCCTTTCTACTTCAAATGTTTCTGCTCCTGTTTATCTAAAAATGCCCTCTTAACACCATTAAATGATTAAATCTCAGATTTCAAACTTTTGCCAATCAAGATACCTTTCAATTTGTCAGAAATGGGAAATATTATTATAAGCATTTTTCCTCATAATTTATCACATGGGCAGGCACATACTCTATATAGAAATTATCCAACTGAATCCTAATTTATAATAAGAAACACTCCCCTTCCTAAAAGAATATGTTTGAGTTACACTTATGTGTACACACACACACACACACACACACACACACACACACACCATGGATATTGAAGATAGATTCACAATGTTTTTCTTGGTCTTGAGACATAGTAAGACAGGTGAGGTTCTAGCCTTTCGCAGTGCTTGCCTTGTAGGTGTAGTAACCCTAGCCCTACTGACCAAATGTTCCTCTTCCTTTGAATTTTAAATTCTTATTTGGAACAGTCATCTACTCTACTGTTAATAATATTCAGATATACAATGTTCCAGCACCATGCCAACCACCAAATTGTCAAGGTCCTCTGCTCCCTAATATTTGAATTTTTTGTTTTTCCTTTCGGGACACACCAGGCTGTGCCCAGAGTTTGCCTCCCTGTGCCAGGAGGCTCTGTACACAGGGATCACTCCTGGTGGTGCTAACAGGACTATATGGGATGCCCGTGACTAAACCTGGGTTAGATGCATGCAAGAAAAAGCGCCTTATCCACTGTACTATCGCTCGAACACCAATCCCCAATGTTTGAAACACCTCATGACTGGAGGGAAAATTTTCCTCACAAACCAAGCTTTCTCTATGATCTACATTTGAGGCTGTAGAGAACTCAAATGAAGTAGAGCTTCAATTTGAGAGGTATGATCTTTAGAGGAAAGACTTCCTGGGATACTTTGCAGGAACCTTATCTGTCCTACTATCTCTCTGTTTCAAGAGAAGTATTCTGAAGCTATCTCTAGTATGTCCAGGAGAAAGGTCCTAGGAAAATGTATCCAAGCTCAATGATACAGATAGAGAAGCTACTGAACCAGTCATCTGAAGGGACAGTTAAGAGAGAAAAAGAGAGAAATCCAGGGGTGAGACAGTTTATTTCACAAGTTTTCAAGAGCTCACAATTACTGCTATATTCTGTGCCAAGATCCAAGTTTCCAATGCATTAATTTGCCCATTTGGAGAAAACACCCTGGAAATGGGCTGGAGCGATCACACAGCAGGTAGGGCATTTGCCTTGCAAACGGCTGGCCGGGGTTCGATTCCTCCGCCCCTCTCGGAGTCCCCGGCAAGTTAGCAAGAGTATGCTATCCGCACGGCAGAGCCTGGCAAGCTCCCTGTGGCGTATTCGACATGCCAAAAACGGTAACAAGTCTCACATTGGAGAGGTTACTGGTGCCCGCTTGAGCAAATCGATGAACAATGGGAGGACAGAGCTACAGTGCGTATTAGGAAACAGTGACAGAAAGGATCTAGGAGGTGCAGGCAAGTTTCTCTGTGAAACTAATCTGGAGATTAGTCTTAACAGAATGTTTTTTCTAACTGATATTCCTAGATTGGGTAAACATAGAAACCCCATACACACACCACCTGAGACATGAAAAAATTTTCCTACGTATACTTGCCTCTCCCAAACACAAACACTATTGAAATCCACTGTCTCCATCTGGAAGTCAAAAATCTACCTATAATTTACTTTCCCTGGAATAAAGTATAGAAGTTAATACATTCTACATTTGAAGTTATAATTTACTAATTCATAAAATATTTTCCATACTACACTTGTTTTATTCTCAGGAACGTCTCCTGACTCTTACTGGGATATGCTTTGCCCATAATCAGTATCAGGGATGTGCCACCTTAGCAAACTGACCAAGTCTACTTGGAAAATGAAGACCGTTGCCATAGTGAAATACATTCGGGAAATTTTAGACTTTAAATCAGAACCCACAAAATGAGTGAATACGTGAATTATTCTCTGACTTTGTATGTTATTTAAGTACACTTGGGGAGAATGTTAGTCTTTCAGTTGTATAACTTAAAACATTTATTCAAGAAAGTGTGTGGGATGGATGATAGTCTTAGAATAACTCCATCCATTTTTGATTGTGTAAAAACATTATGATTCAAAATGTTTCCTTTTTATTTTCAATTTCAGAGGTAACTTACAGAGCAAAATCAATGTTCCTTACCTCAGCGGACCACCTTGTGCTGCCTGCCCTAATGATTGTGACAATGGTCTATGCAGTAAGTTGGAACTCATTTGTTAATATCAAAAAAAATTTTAAAGACATAATATCTTAAGAATTATGAAATCTGAACATAACCTCTTAGGCAATGTCTTTGTTGTATGTTTAAGTGAGCCCTTTATATTTTTTAGAATATAGATATGCTTTGCAATGAAAAGCACAGATAAGACCAGAGAAATAGTTCAAAGGGCTAAAGTATACTTTGCTTGTGGGAGACCCAGGTCCAATTTCTGGCACCTCATGATCCTCTGAGCATCACCATGAAACCCCAGAGCACTGTGAACAAAACCAGGAGCAGCGCTCAAGCACTACTGGTGGTCTTCTCTAATAAGCAGTAGTGCTCAAGGGCCATATGGTTCCAGGATCTCACTAAATTCCTGACACATTCAAGACATATGCTCTAGACCCCTGAATAATTTCAGTCTTCTCTCCAACTCAGAATAATAAATTTAATTTAAAATTTGGTGGATTTATGTCCAATGCTAGATATTCACAAGGAAATGGTCGAGTCATGGTGATTTTTGCATATTTATACATTCACATCAGTGCCTTCTATATGATATCTTATTCATGAAAGTAAGACTAGTTACATTAGAGTCTAGGAAAAGTGTCCAATATCACTTTTTACAATGATGGAAGTGTTGACTACAGTGCTCTGAAAAGTAACCCCTAAACACATTAGCTTTAGAGCACTTGGAATGCAACTGAAATCACTTAGTCCCTGCATTTTAAATTTGATTTCATTTTAAGATGTTTAAATTTAAACAACCACATGGTTGCCAGTGTCTGTCATTTTTGATATTTTAAAGAAATTATTTTAAATACATATTATTCTATTTTCTGAGTTAACTGACTAATTTAGAAAAGCAAGTAATAGAAAACCAGTGAGTTTGACTAAAAGAAGCAATGTGTCCCTCAAGAAACAGTCATCCTGAGTAAAAAGGTGTCAACTGGTTTGATCAGTTCCTTCCTATCCATTCACATTGAATTTGTTTGTGCTCATTGCTGCCCCAGGTAAATGAGAATAAAATGACCGATTTCTTTCTTTTTTTTATTTTTATTTCAGCCAACAGCTGCATGTATCAAGATTATTATGCTAACTGTAAAAGTTTGGTGTCTGCAATGGGTTGCGAACATAAAATCACCAAGGACAAATGCAGGGCCTCCTGCGAGTGCAAAGACAAGATTTATTAATATTTCAGCACAGACTGAACAGAGAAACATCATCTGCTTATATTTGACATTTACTAGCAAGGAAATTATTATCATGCTAGTGACATGTTTGATTCTAAACCGTAATTTTTTCACCTGGGATCCATTTCAATCTATAGAAATATTCCCTTAAAATGTTAAAATATATAATCTATGATTAATCACTTTGGATTGTGTTACAAACTTGTTGATTAAAGTTTAATGAATTGAGTTCTGTTGGGAATTTTGGAAGTTGTATTCTTTTGTCGTTATTTTTGTTTGTTTGGGGCCACAGTCAACAGTGCTCAGGCTCCTTCCTTGTTCTGTGCTGGCAAGCTCGGAGAACCATATGGGGAGCGGGAGTTCAAACCCAGCACCCGACCTGCTGTTCTTAGAAGGTTGTATTCTTATGACTAGAACCAATCACTGAAATTGAGAATCATACTTCTAAAACAAAACGTCCAAAGAGAAAAGTGAAATATCACTGGTACATGACCCCTTCTTTCCTACCTCCACTTCCTGGTTAATCACAGTCACAGTCCTCCCGTTGATCATCGATTTTGCTCAAGCGGGCCCAGTAACGTCTCCATTGCGAAACTTGATGTTACTGTGTTTGGCATATCGAATACGTCATGGGGAGCTTCCCTGGCTTTGCCGTGCGGGCGAGATACTCTCGGTAGCTTGCCGGGCTCTCCGAGAGGGGCGGAGGAATCCAACTCGGGTCGGCCATGTTGGCTGTGTGCAAGGCAAACGCCTTACCGCTGTGCTATCGCTCCAGTCTGGTTAATACCTTTAAAAAAATGTTCACACAGATAAAAATCAATTATCTTTCATTTTTCCTCTAACGTTTACTCTTCTTCCACTCTTTAATGCCCATCCTTACAATTAAGGTGAATTAACTCTTCCTAACCCAAGCCTTCATTTTGCAGTTCAGTAAGAAATTTTAATTATCTACATAAATTGTATAATAGAATATTATTATACCTTCTTTTTTTCCACTCCCACTTCCTCCAACCTCTCATAGCTATGTTTTTTTTTAATGTAGAAGTATTGCTGTTTATTTAGCCGTTGATTAGGCTGATGATTTGGGCATGAACTCCACCTTATTTTTTTTTCCTTTTTATAAATTTACTTATTGACTCACCACGAGAGCAGTTACAAAGCTTTCGGGTTTAAGTCTCGGTCATACAATGATGAAAGACCCATCCCTTCACCAGTGCCCATTTTCTACCACCAAAACCCCCAGTATACATTCCCATCCCACATTCTCCCCCTACCTGTGGGACAGTTGATTTCCACATTACTCTCTCTACTTTGATTACATTCATATTTCGACCCCAGATCCACTATTATTATTTGACATTTTACCCCAACACTCAGATCTGCCAAAAAGGTAACCAGGGACAATTTGTTTTCTATTGCTGATTATGAAAAACATATGATGTTGTGCGGCTGCTGTAGTAGTCACATGATTTTGGAATTCTGAAATTTTAACAGTTAAATCTGGAAGGATTTCTGCTAAAACCTGCTGGGTTCCAAGATTTGTTCCTGAGTCTTTGGGATCATGGCCATTAAGCAGCTTGATCAGGAGCCACAGAGACTGATCGTGGGCGGCGACCCAGGGTCTCGTTGGGGAGAGGAGGAAAGGGCCGGTTCCATCCCGATCCCATGAGGCCCCGCGTGTCTCATCACTGAGGGCCCAAACCTGACCGTCCAATGGCTTCTGGAGGATAGCGGCCACCGAGCCACCAAGGGGGAGCATATGGAGGGAACACCCTTTCCCCCCTGGTATAGTCCACCACCGGTAACCTACTGAGGGGACAGGGCGCATTTCTGCCAAAAGCCGCTGGGTTCCAAGATTTGTTTCTGAGTCTCTGGGATCATGGCCGTTAGGCAGCTTGATCAGGAGTCAGTGACTTGGGGTCTCATTGGGGCAGAGAGGAAAGGGTCATAACTATCTCTTCTCTTAGACAAATCTTCCTTAAAGAATTTAATATAGCTAGGCCTGGGAATGTGACCCTGCAGCATAGCCCTTGCCTAGTATGAGACCCTATACCTGGATTTGATCCCAGCACCACAAACTATAATTAATTAATTAATTAATTAATTTAAAAATTATATTGCAGTGTTTGATTTACAAGGTTATTCAATTATTGAGGGGCCAGAGTGATAGTAATGTAGGTAGGGCACTTGCTTTGCACTCAGCCAATCCAGGTTTGGTCCCGGCATCCCATGTGGTCCCCTGAAGTCCCACCAGGAGTGATCCTTAAACACAGAGCCAGGGGGGTAAGCCCTTCACACTCTTAAGTGTGGCAAAACCTCCCCCCCTCAAATAAAACCAAAATAGATTCAATAATTGAGTTTCAAACATACAGATTTCCAACACCAATCCCACACCAGTATCAACTTCCCTTCACCAATCTCCCCAATTTCTCTCTGAACCACCACCCTGCCGCCCTGATAGGAACACTTTTAAGTTTGGTTGTTATAGTTGAAATCTTGTGTTTTCAGTTTTGTTGTTTCTGTGATTCAAATCTATAGATATACCACACCTCTTTAACCACCAGTGTGCCTGAGGCCTGTGCCTCTTGGCCATGTTATCCCCTGCCCATCTCTTTTACTTCCCCCATCAATTAAAAAAAACAACAACAAATAATATATATGTGTATATATTTGACATTTACTAGTATACATATACTATTATGTATGTAAATATATGTATGTATGTATACACACACACACACATACACACACATTCTTCCCTTCAGAAGTTATAACTTACTCCCCTCTTTTTGATTCTGGACTAACATATTAACTCACTCCCCAAAAGTAAAGTATACCAGGGAAACACCAGTTAATTGAAAGTGAAGTCTGGAAAATGCCACCTTAACCAAGTGACTAAAGTCACTATCATTTGTCATGTGGATTGCTGAACCCCTCTCCTATGACTAGAAGAAGAGATTTATCCCTGTGAAATTCTTTCTGTCTGTAACCCAAGACTCATAAGACACGGGGCATGTTCTGCAAACTATCCCTGGATTATGGGATGTTCTGCAAACTCTCTGATCATGCTCTTCAAAACTATCAATGTTGGGGCCAGAGAGATAGTAGAGAAGGTCAGACACTTGCCTTATACTATACCTACACAAATTCCATCCCAGATACACCATACCCACCCCCAAGCTCTGACAGAAGTGATCCCTGAGCACAGAATCAGGAGGAAGCCCTGAGCACGGCTGGATGCTACCTCAACTCCACCACCCCACCCAACCCCCTAAAAAAGCTATCAATATCATGAGCAATATAGAAAATCTAAGAATGCCTTGGAGATCAAACATGACTAAGGAAATATGAAAAGAAAGTACAACGTGGTATTCTAGATAGGATCATAAAACAGAAGAAAAAGGTGTCATTATTAGGAAAATAGGTGAAATCTGAAAAGCATCTGAAGTCTTTTCAATAGTAATATTGATTTCTTCAACTTCAAAAACGTGCCAGAATTATAAGATGAGAAAAATCAGGGAAAGGAAAAGCTGGGTAAAAAGTATATAAAAAATTTCTACATTATCTTAAATTTCTCTAAGTACAGCAAAATAAAAAGTGCATAAAAAACTAAGATAAAAATTGTTGGCTTAATTTGACAGCTCCAAGCCGCTTTATACCTTTCTTCAGATTACCTGGTTTTTCTGACTCTCCCTACCAAGTTTCAGTTCTTCTATTCTCTTATAAAATATTTGGTTTTTTAATGGAACTTTCAGATAAGACTAATGTTTGTATTTCTTCCTAAGATCCATTACCAAGATTCACCAGTAATTTAAAAAATATGAGTAGTTGTGAAGCAAAGGTAAAGGGAGAGAGAAGTCCAAGGGAATCAATACAGATCCCACGTGCTGGCTTTTTAATATATCTCTTAAAGAGGTTCCCAAACTCCTGGAGTGACCCCCAGCCCCACAATGCTCCCCTGGAAATCCACCTTTATAAAAGCACAGAAATAGAAATCTCCTCTCATTTGAGGCTTTTACCAATTCTGGATTGTTCCAGTACCCCAGGAACGCAGGGTATAGCAGTGCTTACTTTGGGAAAGAATGTTTAAAATTCTTAGCCTAATTTTAAGCCTACTTTGTAAATTTTTCAAGTGTTAAATTTAATTTTCATGTTCTTAAATTGATATTCCAGAAGCTTAGTGATCTTTTTTTGTACTTTCCTGTTTTATCTGATTTCATTCTATCCTCTTATTCCTTATGCCCAAGTAAAATAATCTTTTGAATTTCTCTCAAGGCCTCAGATTTGTCATAGCATTCTTTGTCAGAGCACTTGTGTTTGATATTTACCTCTGTTTAGAAGAGTCATTCCTCGTTATTTATTAGATTGTCTCCTTCACATTAATAGCATTTCACCCAAGAGATTCTTTTCAGTTATTCAGCAAGTTCCTCTCTCATAACCTCCTTTTACTTCCTTTCATAACAGTCATCATAAAGTTTAATAATATACTCATACAGTCAATAAGTACTAATTGAAAAAATTATATCTCAAGTACTAAATTTGGCACTTTGACATAGTGAGCAAGTTCCAAATTCCATAGAAATTGGAACCTTAACGAAATCATAAAATTAAACAACATATTGCAAACACTTCACATAACATAAGAAGTGTCAGAGCTATAAATAAAATGGATCAGAGTCTAGATACAATTGATAATCTGATGTGGGGGGCATCATTTAAACGGAATAATCAAGTAGAGTCTCTCATCATGAACAGTAAATAATATTATTTGATTAAGAAACTTTCAGGCAAAAAGTAGTGGCATATAAACGTATTGCAGAAGGAATAAAAGTTGGCATACTTGAGAAAATGTGACAAGCCCAGAATAGTGGAAACAGAATGAGCAAAACTTTTAAAAAAATACTTTTGTTTGTTTGGGGGGCTAGAGGGACTCACATGCAAGTCAAGCTTCTTCCTAACTCTCACAATGCTCTTTTGGGCCCCTTTGTCAGGTCATAAAT